CTCTCTCTCTCTCTCTCTCTCTCTCTCTCTCTCTCTCTCTCTCTCTCTCTCTCTCTTTCTCCTCGTGTTTATTTCGCAAGCAATCTGAAGAAACATAAACAAGACCAAGCAAAGGCACATCCGACCGAGAGAGAAATAAATGTTGAATCTCGTGTGAGGTGTCTATTTATCTTTGTGATCCCGGTTTCCTGCACTGGAAAAAGAGTTTGATTGCATTAATTGGAATTCTAGTTGAAAATGAACAAGAATTTTCTGGTTGAATCTGCCATAATTCTAGTTAAAATAATTAAAATTCTGATATGATAATAATGATAAAAATTTCTGATTTGCTCATTTTCACATTTTTGTCAGTGTGACTATTCTGAATATTCTTTTGGTACATTATTACTTAACACAATCTTGCTTTTTCCCTTGTTGTGTTGGAAAAGAATAATTAAAACGAGAACACGTTCCCGATGTATACGCACGCACGTGTCACCTGATGACTATTTCCGGCCACTTCCGCGAAGGCGTTATTCTCGGTTATTCTCGTTTGTCGCGATCACTTTCTGCCAAATGGGTCGCTGTGCCTACAGAGCTATTTACTTCGATTCTTCATCGGGGACGTTTATTAATAGATTTCACAAGAGTTTAATTTCTCTGTGAGATTCTTTTTTTATTTTTTGTGATCTTAACATTATAAAAAATTTGTTGCGAAAAATATAACCACATTAGCAGTATGTTAAACATTGAAATTATGAAACGCTCAGCGTTCAGATTTAAGCCTAAATATCCAGAGAAAAGATTTCTTTGATTTAAAGAAATGTTTCTTTGCTGTATGGTTGAAGAAAAAAATTTTTTTGATTTAAACATTATTTTTTTAAATCAAATAAATTTTATTTGAAAAATAAATTTTATTTTAAAAAATAATGTTTAAATCAAAGAAATGACATTCACAAATCAAAGAATTTTTTTCTTTGACCATATAGCAAAGAAACATTTTTATCGAAGAAATCTCTCTCTGGATGTACAAAATCATCTTGATTTTTAATATCTGTTTGTCAAGAACATTTTGATGAATTCATGAAAATTTTCTATCGTTTTTAAACTGTCTTGATCGCCGACAGCAGTCGCTTGAGAGTCAATAACGATATTATCAACAGGAAACATGTATGATTGCAGGCGGATCTATTAGAGGGGAGATTGAACCCGGCTCGA